TGGCTGCCCTCCAGGCCGGCCAAGCAGGGAGACGTGGTCACTGCGCGCGTCGCCGTGGCCAGCAACTCCACCGTGGACTTCTTCATCCTGAGGTAGGTGCTCACCCCGCGGCTGGCGCGGCTCCGGTGGGCTCGGACGGGAAGCTGGGGCTGCCGACTAGAGACAGGGCCCCGCCACCCGCCTGCTCGAGGGTGGGGAGCTCAGGGCGGAGAGCAGGAACGGGGCGCTCCGCGCTCCGGGGAAAAATGGGCAGGACAGGCCTTCAGAGAGATATTTTCAGGAGATTTTAGGAGCCCAAATTCTTGCCTCTCCTCCTATCTGGAAAAGCAGGGACCTCATTAATGGTGACGTCTGCTCCTGGTGACCAGCAGCAAGCCTGTGCCAAAATGTGTGCTTGACTGCACGCCCGCCCCCTTCACTAAAATCACGTATGTACCGACTCTCCTCTGCCTCTTCGGCGCAGGTCCGCAGGACAGTCTGAGATGCTGTCCCCGGGGCTACTGTCCTCATTTTGCCCCCAAGAAAACAATTCACAACTCTCACAGTGGATGTTTAAGGAGGATCCATTGTCACCACCTTCAGGGACCCTCTGGCTTCACAGCGGAAGCCAGGCCCCACCTCTGCCCCCAGGTTTTAGCAGCTGCCTTACATTGTATACCAGGGGCCAGGGAAGGAGGGCAAGACTAAACGAGTTCCTCTCTTTTGGCCTTGGATTTATTTACTCTTGAACTTGGAGAGGGAGATGACTTTTCATTAAGCTTTGAATTCTTCTGTAGATATGCAGATGACTTGGTTGCGCCTGACCGAAGGTATATACCCCGGGGGCCCCAGAAAAGACATAGGTATTGTGCTGTGCAAAAAAAGCCCAGGGTGATATCTTTCTTTTTTTTTTTTCCTGGTGGAGTGAAGTAGTGCCAGTTAGTGGTTGGGAAAAAACCCCGTTTGTGAGTACCATTCAGCAATGATTAAAGGAATCTGCCCATCATGAAGTTTTCAGCAGAGGTATTCCATCTTATTTGAAACAAAGAGAAAAGTAAACTGAATTAAAACAACAACAAAATAACCCACCTACCGTCCCCGCTGCTGGGTCAGCAGATGACCCCAGAGCTGTAAGGGGCTGGCTCCGTCACGCTGCATAATGGTTCTGAAGCTTGGTTCAAGAATGCCTGTTGTCTGAGATAATTAAAACTGGGGGAAAAGCCACTTAAAGCAAATCCTCTTAAAATGTGGCCCAGGATTTCATGATAATGAAAAAAAAAATCTGCTTGAGATTTGTTTAAAAGATAAAGATGATAAAAGAAAATCAGGCTTTTTTTCTGTTGTCATTAAGAAAGGCTTAGGTTGTAACGGTAGCTACGCTTTGGTTCTCTTCAGAATACAAAATTAATCGCATGCTGTCTGAGTTGCTTAGAAAAATACTGGCAAGGTGGAATGATAGCACGTTACAGGCGTCTTTTGTTTTGGTTTATCTTCTGTTGTGTGGCAGTGGGAGTGGCCCTTTTTGAAGGGTTTGTTTTTACAAAACACAGTCAAAGATTTTCGTATATTTTTCTCGACGTTTCTTCGTTCTTTGGCGTCAGATGATTCTCTTCTAAAGCGTCTGTCTCGTCACCATCCTTGTAACTCTTCCTTTCAGTTCTTAAGTGGATTAATGTGCCCAGATCCTGCTTTGCCGGTGGTTGTGGGTCTGACCCAGGGCTTTCGGGACGTGGACTTCAGTGGTCACACAACCCTGCATCTTTGATGAGATGTCAAGTGTGCCCTATGGGGAATTCCCATCAAATTTGCATTGTCAGCAAATTGTTAGGGGTCCGCATGTCACCTGCTGACTTGGTGGTGAAAAGGGATAAACTCAGTGTCTTAGGGGAAGTGTCTTAACCTTGTGATGTAACTGCGGGACCAGAAGAGTAGATATTTGGATCAAAGGGTCCAGGTTTGCTTCCTCCTGCCTTGGATGGGGAGAGATGCTGATCTGGAAAGTTCAAGGTCCATTTCCACGGGGTCCCCTAGCACCCTGGCTCCATGCCCTGCTGTTGTAACATGAGCACATCCAGCCCAGGCTTTGGAAGGGACGTTCAGGCGACAGGGAACCGAGGGCATGTTTTAAAATTCCAGAGTCACAACTGTCTTCCCATTTGTACTTTCTAAAATTTGTTTTTGTTTTATCTGATTTTTTTTCCTTTTTTTTGAATTGAAGTATAGTCAGTTTACAATGTTGTGTCAATTTCTCACCCTCAGCATCCCTCCCTAGAAATGCAAACTCTGCTATCACTGGGGGGTGAGTATGAGTGAGCCAGTGGGTCCCTACGTCCAAGGTGTGGGGCCCCTGCACCTGGCTTGTTGGAGAGGAAAGGCTGTTCTCTGTGTTTTTCATCACAAAGATAAGGATGGTGGTGGAGAACATGAGTCCTGCCAGCAGCTGGCCTCAGTCCTGGTCCTGTCTCCTTTACGTCCTGGCTTTGCGACTCTTGGCAAGTCACCTAATCTGCATGTGCCTTGGCTTCCTAAATCAGACGAGAGCCTGGTACTTACTGCCATGGAGATGGGAGGATGCAGTGGGCTCCTGTTTATTTGCAAGGTGCTTCTAACTGAGTCTGGCATGTAAACGTGCTGATGTGAACGAATGTGGGATGTCACTCACAGGTTGTTTTGAAACATCCATCAGAACTTCAATAAGCATTGAATTCTGCTTCAGCAGTAAAAGGACATCGTGCTTTGCATAAAACAACAGTGACCAGGTTTGTTCTGAAAGCTGTATTGATTCTCACTTCACCATGATTTTGTTCAAAGACGAAAAAAATTGTTTTGTAATGACGAGAGCCTTTGGGGCACAGAGGATAATACAATGGAATGGTTCTGGGTTGGATGTTACTTGGTGCTGGGAACGTAGCAGCCCGATTTCTGCCTCCCTCATCCTTCCACCCACGGATCCGAGCCCTCGGGGGCGGGAGGGGGAGGGGAACCAGAGAGGCAACAAGGACTCCAAGACGTCCGGCTGAAGGATGGGAGACTGTGGATAAAGCAGACGTTTCCTTTCAGGATGACACCTTTCATTTTCATTTAGTTTAAATTCATTTTAATTTTTAAAAGTAGTTATTCTTAGGAAAAACATTCAGAGAGAAAATACAAAAAGATGTGCCCAGGTGTGGCAGAATAGTGACGTTCGCATGAGGCTCCCTGAAGCCTGGGAATCTCCACTGTCTCCTCCTCGTAAGAAAACCCCTGTTTATCCCGTTGCCCCCGAGGATGGCTGCTGGTTCCGTCACAGGGGACATCCATCTGTCCCCTCGCTGGAAGCCAGCTGAGGAATTCACGGGGGATTTGTGGGGAGGCCTTGAAAGACCCCTCCTGACACTGAAGTCCAAAGGCATTCTCCGTCAGCTCCCGGGAAGGCGGCTTTGCGCGACAAGGCCGGGATGCTTGGAGAGAAACCAGACTTCTCGGGGGTTTTGGAAGGGCCAGCCTCACACACGGAGACTTGGCCTAAGCCTCCTTTACAGGACCGGCTCCACAAATGGCGCTCTCTTCCTCAGGCTCGAGGATGCAGCCTGCGATTCGTTAGCCGCCTCGTGCATCAAATTCAAAGGCCACCCCTGCTTTAGGATCCCGTCGGTTTCTGGGACTCAAAAGTCAAGGTGTGGAGGTTATACTTTGCTTTCTGTGAATAGAACATTATTTCAGGAACCTGTTTTTTGGAAAATAAAAAATGAAATGGTGACCAACGTACAGGAAAAATACCTAAACTGGATATGTTTACAGTGACCTATAAACAGATCGGTGAGACAGAGGTGTTGGCCCCTTGTCGCTCAGTGTAGGGCTCAGCACATAATAAAGGGCCAGTAAGCATGTGTTGAATTAATGCAGAAGCAAATGCCTCATGTCAGATTTATATCAAAGACAAAGACCTTCCTCTACATCGACAGTTTCCTTTGTGACCTGCTAACCAAGGCTCCTTGAAATAAACTCTATTCCTTACACCAAGTGTAAGCGTTGCACCTTAGTCCAGGGATTTTCAAAACACATTGACAACTGGGGTCATTGGCGCTGAAGATTCCCACTGCCTTCTCCGCGAGCCTCGAGCCGCGGGGTGCTGCGGAGCACACTTCTTCCTCGAAGCCAGCCCTAGACTGAGTTTGCGGAATCACTCCCTGTGTCGGGACCGACGTTCACTGTTACCGCAAGTCGCAGGTGTCGGGCAGGCAGATGGCTCCTGACCTTGGGGATGCTTCAAGGGCAGACCTGGGGACACACTGGCCGCACCTCTGGCCTCGTCAGAAAGCCACTGACATTGCTCCCAAAGAAGCAAAGGTGGGGGGAGTGGGCTCACTCAGCCTCTCCCATTTAAAATAAGCTTGCTTGAACGAAATCCGCGATTCAGGGAAATGGAGGGGAGGTGCTCTCCCCCGAGTGTGGCTACTCCAGAACCCTGCACCTCAGTGACTAGAAGTAGGGAGGCTAAGAGAGTCACGGAGAGGCGCCCCTCCCTGCAAGATTACATTCCGCAGCAACCAGGCATTGACGCATCGACCGTCGTCCTGTGTCGCGTCTTGAAGCATACGGACGGGTTGAGTCTACGCCTGGGTTTCTCAGCCCCGGCAAGACGGGCATTTGGGGCAGGATGAGTCTTTGTCGTGGGGCTGCCCCGTGCACCGTGGGGAGTTGAGCAGCATCCCTGGTCTCCACTCACTGCATGCCAGTAACACCTTATCTCCAGTTGTGACAACCCAATTGTCTCCAGACGTTGCCAGATATCCTTGGAGGGGCAAAATCACCCCGGCTGACAATGCCTGGTCCACGTCTGTGATGCACAAAGGGTGTGGCTAGCCAGACGTTTGTCGTGGAGATCTGGGTGGGAAAATGAAGACATGGTGTGGCTCATTCCCAGGCATTTCTCTGACCAAAACCTGCGAAGGCTGTGTCTCCGCAATTTCTCTTCTAACAATATATTCCTTCATCATATCCCTTCCCCACCAAGAGCTCAGTGTCCAGCCGATACAATCACTTAAAAAGCAAAGGATCCAAAATATCTCAGAGGTGATTGAGAAAGAGAGGAGACAGGACGCGTGACACCATCCATCTCTGATTCCGTCGA